GGCCACCTGTGCAAGAAAACCATCCCATCCACTGGCATGTCACCGCCTCACATGGAGCTGCTTAGCTACCGACTCCAACGTGCAGCCCGGAGCCAGCCGGCCGCGGTCTCCGCAAGCTCTGGTCAGGCAGGGAGGCAGGCAGGGAGATCCCGCCACTGGCTCCCCAGGCACCACTCAGAAAGAAGCCCAATGTCACACGGTGGTCGTGCTCCCAAGTACCACGGTGAGCCCCACCTGCACACACCAGGTGTGTGAAATCCACTCAACTGAGCAATATCCCCATCAGAAAGGGAAGGCTGGTTTTTTTTCCAGAGGAGGAGGAGGTGACAATACAGAGGGAAATTTGGCAGCTGCCGTCCGGATGGGCGTCCGGCCGAAACCACATCCAGCCCTTCACCCCGCGGCCAGTTTGGTGCTGCAACTAGAACGTGACAACATGAGACATATGGTTCTAGGATGTTTAAAATAATGAAGACAAAAAAAACTAGGAAAAAAGGTTTCGGGCTCTTCTGCTGGTAAACGGGAAACGAGGTGGCGGCTCTCTCCAGGATCCCTGCCGAAGCTGCTGGGTGTACACATGCCCTGCCCGGCAGCCCCGGTGGACTCCAACAGTCCCAACACTCGGCTGGCTGGCTACTGGGCAGCTGGGAACAATGCCAATGCAGGACAGGCTGCAATTGGGGTTTTGCTGGGTCCCACGCTGCTCTCTGTTCACAGAGAAGTAAAATGTGTATGCGGCAGTGGCGGACAGAGCTCCTCCGGGGAGGACGCCGGTCAGGAACTCATGCTCCCCGGCCCCACGCTCATCGGCCAACACGCAGGCGTAACTGTGGTGAGGCAGCTCGCTGAGAGGTGGGCTTGGACAGCCCGATGCAGGGATGCAGAGGGCAGGGCCAGCCTGACTGCTGTATACACACCATGGACCGCACTTACTGAGCCACTGAGATGAACACTACTCATCTCTCCTAAGTGCTTGAAAGAGTAGGAAATCACGTGATTCTGGAAAAACAAATTAGCAGTTTGGAGAGGTTGAAACAAATCCTTCAAGGAAAAACACTGGGACACAGACGTTTCCAGACAAAGAACGGAGACCAGACCCCAAACCCGGCCAGGCTGGTTTACTCGGGCCTGGCTACCTTGCCACGCAGAGTCCACCAGCCTCACTGCACGGTTCCCACAGCCGCCAAATCACACCCACCACGTAACCAAACCGACCATGACCTCGAAGTTGGGAAGCAACTTTGGTGACCTGCCTCTCAGAGGTCAGCGCTCCACACCGCACACATGGGCATTATCTGGAACCTTCCGGGTAACTTCTTAACAATTCACCACTGAAGCATGGAGAACGCTCAAGGACATGTCATTCCATGACAGGTGCTCGGGAGCTTGTGAAATTATTTACGTACGTCCACAGTTACAGAACAGACTGAAAGAAAGTGTACGTGTTCTAAAAAATACCTCCCTGGGTGGCAGCCGTAGCTTCTGAAACAGGACTTGCTTTTTAACAACTGATCGGGCTGCCAGTGGACGCTGAATCCTCCAGCACCGCATCTCTCAAAAGTGGGAAGGAGGCCGCGTGGTGCTCAGGGCCCCGTGACAACGTGAAAACACACGCAAGACTCATGTGCGCACCTTCATGCACGAAGGTTGGGCTCACATTCTTCTTCTCAGTCACAATCAAACTGCACACCTCACCAAGACCTCCACGGTCTTTATGGCAACGGCGTGTGTGGACACTAGCGTTCCAGGAGCAGTACCTACGAGAACCTCCCTGCCGACATCCCAGGATACAGGACGTGTGAGCTGAAGTCAGGCATGGGGAGCAGGACACAGCAAGGCCCACGGGACCACACAGCCCTGTGAGTAAGGCAGGCCCTGAGCGTGGTGGCTCGTGGCCTCCGCGTCAGGCTCATGTCTGCGCTGCGCTGGACACAGGCGCGTCCTCAGGGAGCCGGGCAGGGCTTTCCCAGCACACAGATGAGAGCAGGGTAAAGGCGAGCTGATCTGCCCACGAGTGCCAGGAGAGGCGGCGGCCACACCTAGAACTCTGTGATTTCATGCTTTGCAGTGCCTGAAATTTACCTGCCTCTTTTATACCAGAGGAGAACCTTAGTTATCACTTCCAGAATAGTCTGTCAAAAATAATGCCCTGCCAGTAAAATTTCTTTCCCAGTGTTAGGTTAACAGTAAGAAAGCCCAACTAACTTTTAACATGGGCTGTGGGCTGCACCGTGTCCCCCAAACTCCACCCGCAGGACCTCAGAATGGGACCGCATTCGGAGACAGGGCCTTGAAGATTATTAAGGTTAAATGAGATTATATGGGAGGGACGTGATCCAGTGCAACTGTGTCCTTAGAGGCAGAGATCAGGACACAACTGCACGCGGAGGGAGGACAGAGTGAGGGCATGGGAGCACGGCCGTCTAAACGGCCAGGAGAGAGGCCCCAGGGGACGCCAGCCCTGCCCTGCCTGCATCCCGGCCTCCAGCCTCCAGCACCCGGACAGTAGCTGCTGTTTAAATGACCCTGTCCCATCCCGCATTTGCTACAGCCTCACACGCATGCCATGCAGAGTGCTCGCCCAAACACGGCCTCGGCGGCCCAGCACATGCCTGATCAGAGCACGACCCTTCTGAGAAACACGATGACTAAGTAACACAAAGAGAAGGCCGGTGAGGACAGCTGAGACGCATCTGTGTTTGTGAACGTGTGTGAGTCCAGCAGAGGGACCTCTGGTAACAGAGGTCCCCTGAGTGCAGATGGGACTCTCCCCTCCAGTTGCTCAGCCAGAATCCCAGCTGCAGGACGACGCAGACTGCGGGCTCCATCCCCTCAGACGCGTTTCTCAGTTTGCAACGACGGCCGCCGCAGGGCCGTTCTGGAGGGGACACAACGAAGGGGTGAACACAACGGGACAAGCCGAAGCAACAGTCTGCTAAGGTCAGGTCCCCGGTGCGTAACACACACGCGCACGCACACGCCCACGCACTCCCCAGGGAGGAATAACTTCCGGGACAAGAGCTCCTCTCATCTCCCTGGTGGGGACACCCACCGCCTGTCACACGTATGCACACACAGCACCTGGGCAAAAACTACCAGATCGCTTACGCACCCGGTGGGACACAAAATCGACGCAGAGCTCTAAAGCTCCTTTTGCAGTCTGCACCCACAGTCCACGCAGAATGCAGAATTCCAGTCCGGAGTCACAAGCTCGACATTAGCGCCAAGGCCTGCCTCTGTCCTGTTCACGTCACATCCGCCGCAGCTCTTCCAACACCAAGACAGAGTGTCAAAGTTACGTGCACGTGCTGATCCCGTGAAGGGTTCTGGGTCACTCCCCGAGCACCTGAGTACACGGCGCAGAGGTGAGCGGCGCAGGGACGTGCCCACATGGCAGAGAGCAGCCTACTCACCAGATGGGAATGGCTAGCACAAAGAAGAAGGGCGGAACCAGGGCCCGCACATCCCCACGCCTGGGCTGGCAGGGGGCAGGGGATCGCCCCCGATCCAGCATCCTCAGGAAAAAACTACGCAGAAAGAAGGCAGGGTCATTTTTAGGCAAAATGATGTGCCAGGCCAATAACCCTAAAACCATCTGCCATGGAGTCACCTTAGCTGAAGGGTTTTATGGGCAATACAAGGGCAGACAGAGACTGAGAGCATCTGCAGAAGTAATTCAAAGACTCCCCTAATTCTCTGAGACTTGGCGGCCTGAGCGCTTAGAAACACAGGACATAGGACAAACCTGTGCTAGACTTTACGTGTGAGACCGTGTACTGCGGGCGTTAAGAAGCCCAGGTTTTACAAGAATATTAACGTAAGGACGTGTTTAAGGTATCTTTGAAACACAAAATAGTTCCCACATTCCTGTGACGGAAATGCAGATTTCTTCAGCATAACTGGAAGACAAGACAACACGTTTTGCCATTGACCTGGGAAGGAAGGTCACAGAAGTGCCCGCAGAGACGGCTGGGCTGTGGCCTCTCCGGGCCCCCGCGCCGAGGCCGCTGTTGTCCTGGACCACACATGTGCCCCCACGCCTCCCTCACAGGCGCCGCGGACAAAAGGCGCGCCTCCCCCCGACCAGGGGTCCCACGCGGCGACGGCCGAGGGCTACGCAGCATCTGCCACAGTTTACTCACCACCAGCGCGTGGCTGAACTGGCAGGCCCACCCACAATTCTCCAAGCATGGCTGCTTCCAACAGACCCACTCACTGGCCCAGGGACAGCGACCGGCGACCGCCAACCTTCCCACGAAACCTGCTGTCCTTTAGGGAACACGCTTCCCAAGCTGCACCTGCAGCGGCAGGAGGGCCGGTGCGTGTCAGGAGGAGGGCACGAGATCGGGCCTGCCACGGGCGGACGCCGGTCATCCCCGTCCCACACCTGCCCGTGCCTCCCCCAGCCCCAGCCTGAACCACGTGATCCACGGGCCCAACTCAGCGGGCAAACATCAAAACACAAATCTAATTAAAGGCACATGAGGGATCTACTTTGTACCTCACTGGTTAAAATTTCCCAGGAAAATGAAGCACAGAACATGCACCCATCAGTGGCGTGACAGTCGCTTCCTCATCCCACCACCGGGAAACAGAGAGAGATCTTCCCTACACTCTCGCGCGTGGGTGCTTGAGTACTAACAACATTACAGGCAGTATATAAAGCAAAACTAGATGTGAAAGTATAAAATGCACATTATTTAATTCTATTTAGAATAATCAAGTTTAAAATTTTATGATAAGTTTTCTCCTTAATGGCAATCCACCACAGAATGGCTCTAGGACACCGCTCACTGCCCCTCTCCCTTTGGGGACGACCAAGTGTTAACATATGCGAGGAGAAGTTCGACCTCCTTCCGGTTCTGCGTGCACTGGACGGTTTACATGTGGTGGAGAGGGGAAAAGGTTACTTAAAATCTTAAAGTAAACTTTAAAGAACTTCCAGAAGCAGGTTTAACACATCACATTTTGCTCATGAGCACAAAATTTACAGTCAGAAGTTGCACATAAAGGGTTTATTTTAAATGTTTTAAGGATAGGATAGAGTTACATCATAATTATAAAAATTACTTACAGAATTAACAGATTTATATTGTTTATACTTCTAAATGCAGAGAACAGGGAACGGTCTACACATTGTATAAAATAAAATTAAAATTAAAAATGAATTCAAGCCTGAAAGATGAGGTCATTTACCTAATTGTAAGATGCGAACACGAAGACCTCTGAACTATACACATCCGCTCACACCGCACTAATGGTGGAAATACAAAAAGCGCAGCATTTCCAAGGAACCACAGACATTTCGACCATAATTATTTGTTATAATAATTGTTCCTGTTTTGTCTTTGGAGAACTTTCTTTCTTTCTTTCTTTTTTTTTTTTTTAAGACAATCAGCTTACGCATGTTTTCAGGCACTACAATTTGTGACAATCAGAACAGTCTTCTAATGGGTCCAGAGCGCTCAGAGATTCGAGCCCAATGCACTTCAGGGTTTGGCACGTAAAAGAGGAATAGGAATGAACTCTGGCTTAGAGGTGACTGCGAGCGCTTCGAGCATGCACAGTCCCTTCAAATGCTGCACGACAGACAGAGCTGGGGAACCACCCTCTGCCGGCACTGCGTGGTGCCACCAGCGCATTTTCATCCTACCACCACTACAACGGCACAGGAAGCAATATACAGAGAACTGAAAACAAATAAAAACAAAGAAAACAAAAAACCTAAATATCTTTCACATGCAAGTTCAGTTAGTTACATTGAACATCCTACTTAGAATAGAGCATGCAAAAAAGGATGGTCTGCGTTTAAGGTTCTCCTCGGAAGCTTCACGTGGCAGCCGGACGTCACACGCACACGACACGGGAACACGATAGCAGGTCAGTGAGGAAGGCCGGGACATTTTATACAGGTTCAGGGCTTGTGCACTCACAAGTCCCACGATAATTTTGGAAACTCATGTTGGGCTCCTCGAACGAGGAACCAACATTCTGATACCAGGAAAAGGCAAGCAATGCATGCAGATCTGAAACGTGAGCCTAGAACGAAGCCTGAAGTACCGGGCGAGGGAGTGGAATCAGTCACCGAGCAAGTGTGGGTTAAGCCACCAAAAGAAAAGAGACCAGGGGAAAAAAGGAAAACAACAAAAAGCCCCTTCCCCTTCCCCTTCCTTTTCCTAAAGCAACAAATGGAACAATGATGAAACTAACGGTGATCATGACGTGTCACATTCGTCTGGAGAGTGGCAGACCATGTGGTATTGAAGGTGCAACAGGTGCTCGCAGGAAAGCCACAATGCAAGTCATTAAGTGAGGCTGGAAAGGTTTCCACTGACCCAACCCTCAGGATACTTCCAAAGAACACTGGTTTTCAGTCCAAAGCCACTGCGCCACGTTCGCACAGTGCACACGCCAGACACCCCCACTCTCAGGGCACACGCATCCCGCCTGCGCTCGGGGAGCCGGGCTCAGCCTGGAGACTGGCATGCAGGGACTCTGACCAGAGCCAGACAGACGTGCTGCACGACGCCTGTTCAAGCAGGAGGAGCGTGAGACCAGGCACTCACCGCAGAGAGAAGCGCAGAGCCGGACAAGCTCCCCCTGCTGCCCGAGGTGAGGCGCTGCACTTCTTGAGCGCGAGGTCACCGCCCAAGAGCATGACAATGCACAGCCTTCCGGAAGGCAAAGCGGGCCACCAACGCGGACCATGCGCAGCGAGGTCACCAACGACAGAATCTCCAATACTGAGAACAGCCACGACAGAGGCCACACGGACTGCTGGTAGTTGGCTGACAACGTGTGCATTCAGCCTGCTGCCCAACACTGAGGCAAGCTTTCCAACCTCCACAAGAGACTGGATTCCCATACTGCCTCTCTCCTGGCTTTCAAACCATCAGGGCTCATCCAAAACAAAGTGACAGATGGCCGTGTCGCCACCACCCCAACCACATCTATAGTTCTATTTTGGTCAAAACAACCTCGCAGGAGCAAGCCACGAAAGGGCTGTGTGGCCAAGGGCCACAGTCACACCCAGAAGCTAGCGCAATGACGGAAGAGTCCACATCAGCAGCACACGGGGAGCCGAGACCGCCCAGCACCACAGAAGGTGTCAGGGGATGCAGGCTGTTATGTGTCTAGATATCCTCTGCGGGGAAAAGCCTTCTGACCACAACCATGTATCAGTAAGAACAGTAATAAAAATAAAAGTGTCCCAGAGAACTTGCCAGAAGGCAGCAACGCCACTCCCAAACTTGTATTTCTAATATCAAAGCACTAGGCTCTGCCAGGAACTTACCACATACACATAAACCACTGATGCACTGTTAACCTCTCAAATCCACGCACTAGAATCCAGGCTGCCGAGCGTACAAATTAATGGACCAGCTGTGCCGTCCAAAACACACCGGCATCACACCGTGTGGACCAAGTGCCTGGGCTTTGCTTTAAAACAAAAAAAGTACTTAGGATAAAAAATGTAAACAAAAATTTACAAAGCTTAGAAATTAAAGGCAGCTTTTTACCCAGATTCCTGTTTTGTTAAATTCTAATGTGGGTCCAGCAACTGTTCACAAATGATTCCTATTTGGACTCATGGTTTAAAGACTCCAGACTAAAAAGGTGTCTGAACTTCTGACTTCCAAAACACGCCGAATGTCCTTATGTGTCTCCTGTGCCCACATTTACTTTTAAATAAACAGCAGTAATATACGAAATTGGACTGACTCAGGACAAGCACTCCTGTTAACTGGAGAGTATTACTGAACCCCCGCCCCAATCCACAGAGAACGGACTGCCAAGGAAGTGTGTGTGCGTGCGTGCATGTGCGCGTGTGTGTGTGTGTGTGTGTGTGTGTGGTGCTTATGGACACACACAGATGTGGACAGGGAGAGCGAGGTGCATACGTCTCAACAAAGAAGGCGGTACCAACAGTACCAGGCTAAGCTTGCAGTGTGGCAGCAGACGGGGAGAACTACAGTGCCGGGGAGCTGGGGGCGATCCAGCCCAGTCTACACGACCGCAACGCTAGCTTAACTTTACCAAACTTGCCCTAACTCCCCTCCAGACACAGAGACTTCTCATAAGAGGAAGGAGTTCCTTACACAAAATGCTTTGTGTTCACATAAATCTGTACTATTCAGAACAAAACCAGTTCTGCTGGCAGAGATTGTGGGTTCGCAGGGACATTTAAGCTTTCATTAAACTGGAAAGCAATCAAGTCTTTATGTCTACAAATTATACATTTAATAGTTCCACAAATTTGGCCAAGTTCATGATGACATCTAGGATGTTTTCACCAAATCGTAGACATAAATATGGAAATCGTCATCAAACTTGATGAAATAGACAGACGGTTTGGCCTCCACTTGATGAATGACCATGCCAGTCCTTTTAGAGCCGTCCTCTTTGGCATACTCCACCTGTTTGCCTACCAGGCTGTCCACAACTTCTCCCGGTTCCCTTTCTGCTGGAGGAGAATCATCTGCATTAAAGAGGAGAGAAGAAAGAATTTAAAGTCAATTTTTACGTATGTACCAACTCACATGTCTATTTTAATAATAGTTTTTTAAAACGTTAACATCTGGATTCATCCTAATTATCTAGAGCAAAAGTCAGGCCACTCTTCCTTCAAGGGCCAGAGGCTCGAGGACATATGGTCTCTGCACCAGCTGCTCGGTCCCGGCAGGCCTGTGAGAACAGCCGAGAGGGGGTGCAGGAATGAGAGGTGTGGCTGTGTGCCAATAAAACTTTATTTACAAAAACAGTGTGCTGCCGCCCCCGCCCCAGGATGTAGGCATGTCAAGGATTTTGAAAATCATAACCAGAAATCCCCGTGGCTTGTGTTTAATTACAACCGACACCATCTGAGAGGGTGAAGCAAAAGGAAAGGCCACGGAAAAGCCTAGATGCACAGAACTTCCAGAGTAAGCTGGAGTGACTTGGAAACAGGCCTTGTAAGCAGACGATACCTCCTGGGACACAGAATACGCCATTCTCTTCAACACACGCCTGGTCTTTTTCCTGTGACTCCTGAAAGCTTCTTTCTCCCCACGTTCACTGCAGCACACATGGTCTTCCTATCCCGGCTTCCGAGTAAGACTTCCTGTGCTCTGAAGACAAGTGCCGAGCGAACCCCTGCCCAGACTAACCACGACAGGACCTCCGGGATGGCGGAGGCTCCCGCGCTTCTCAGACGGCCCCCAGCAAAGCCTGCCCGCCGGAGAACGCTGCCCTGAGCCGGCAGGGGCTACAAGGTGTTCTCGGAGCACAGAAACCAGAGCAAAACCCCCCTCCAGCAGCAGACCCGAGGGGCAGGGGGATGGGCTGGCTGGGTGGCTACCACCCTCTCTCAAGAAACCCCTGCAGGTCGTGCATGGGGCGAGCTCTTTTCCAAGGAGCAGCAGAGGGCTTCCAGGTGCCCCCGGGGGTGGTGGGTCCTGCTTTACCCCAGGCCGCCTGTGCTCACGCCGCTCGCAGAGCACCCCAACCCTCACACACAGCCTGTTGTGGCCCTGAGCACGCGTCTGTCCCTCACGGGGACACAACCCTAACCCCGCCTCTCTGACCGCCGGTGCTGACGTCATGCATGCCGCCGGCCACAAGCCCGAGTCTAGTGGTCCTCAGTTCCCCTGAGCAGGAAAGTGATGTCGAACCCGAAGCTCAAGTCCTCTCTTCAAAACTGCTCTTTCCTTGGCAGCGGCACCAGCCCACCATGCTTTCGGGGTGCTGCCTGTTTAGAGAGCATTCCAAAGACGCGACGGCTGGGCATTTCACAACTGAGCCAAGATGCAAGGGCCTTACACGGAGGCCCCTGCGAGCTCCCGGCACCAGGGCAGCATCTCCCATGGCCGCCACACTTCCACACTCGCTAAACCACTTAGTGGGTGGGTGAGGAGCGCGGGTGGGTGAGGAGCGCGGGTGGGTGAGGAGCCCGGGAGACACCGCGGGCGGTCCCAACGCCCCTGCGCTTTCCCAAGCAAGGCCAACAGTTCTCACTGCGGAGCTTTCTCTACAAAAAAGTCAAAAATCAACTGCATGCAGACTGGAGAAATGCTTTTAAGAAACACTCTCCTGATCATTAAATTCCTGCCCATATAAACACTTCCCTTTACAGATTTATGAAGAAAAGCCTAAGACAAAAATAGAGGGCGGAGAGTCAGGGCCAGATGAGCACTGTGAAAGCAGGTTCACTGCCTGACTTGTTGATGGAAGACCCCAAGAAGACATGCTGACACCCGCTCGCGTATCGAGCATCTGCCCGTCACCCCGTCCAGGCCCAGGGAACCCTGTGCTGGAGGAAAGGCTATGGAGTAGTTTAAAAAAGAACAGGCTTACCCAAAAATGAAAGAAAATAATTCCATTTATAACAGCATCAAAAAGAGCAAAACATTTAGGAATAAACCTAACAAAAAAGAAGTACAAAACTAATACTCTGAAAACTACAAGACACTGTTAATAGAAATCTTTAACTCTCAATAAGTGGAAAAGTATCCGTGCTCCTGGGTCAGAAGGCTTCACAGTGTCAAGATGATCAGAGATTCAGCACAATCCCCATCTGAATCCCAGCTGACTTCTTTGCAGAGACTGACAAACTGATTTCAAAATTCACGAAATTGCCATGGACCCAGAAGAGTCAAAACAATTCTGAGAAAGAACAAAGTAGGACTCAGCACCTCCACTTCAGAGCCGTGTGACCGAGTACAGCACGTGCCCCACAGACAGGAGCACAGCCATCCATCTGCAGCCAGCTCCCTTTCACCACGGGCGCCAAAACCACCCAGGAAGGAAAGAACAGTCTTTCCACAACATGGTGCTCAGACAATGTGCACAAGAATGAAGGGGAACCCTTCCACCACATCATAAAAATTAACTCAACATGTATCGAAAGATCAAAATGTAAGAGCAACACCTATTAAGACTCGCAGAAGAAAACGAAGAGGTGCATCGTTTATGGCCTTGGACCCAACACCAAAATGAAAGCACGAGTTACAAAAGAAAAAACAAATTGGACTTCATCACAATTAAAAACTTCTATGCTTCAAAGAGCACCACCAAGAAAGTGAACAGAAACCCACAGAATAAGAGGAAGTGTCTGTAAATCCTACATGGGTCAGGAGACCTGCAGAGAGACCCAGACTCTGACAGACTTCTCTCCGAAGAAGACACAGAACCGGGGGCACCTGGGCGGCTCAGTCGGTGATGCGTCTGCCTTCAGCTCAGGTCATGATCTCAGGGTGCTGGGACTGAGTCCCACATCAGGCTCCCTGCTCAGTGGGGAGCCTGCTTCGCCCTCTCCCTCTGTGCTAACAGATAAATAAAATCTTAAAAAAAGACACGGAAATGGCCAGTAACATACAAAAGGATGCCTGACGTCTTTAGTGATCAGGGAAATGCAAACCAAGCCCACGATGAGATAGCATTTTGCAACCACAAGGACGGCTAGAGCGAAAACGTCAGTTAACATGTATTTGTGTCAAAACCCTCACACACGGTCAATGCGCGTGGAGAAGGTTGCAGGGGTCCCCCAAACAATTCAACAGTGACACAGACCCATCAATCCCAGCCCTGCACCCAAGAGAACTGAAAACATCCACTCAGAAACCTGCGCACAAGGGTTTACCACAGCATCCTTCATAATCAGCAAGAGGTGGACAACCCACACACCCATCCGTGGACAGATGAACACATGTGCACACAGTGCCGCTATATTTGGCATGAGAAGAGATAAAGCACTAACACACGTCACAACACGAGGAGCCTTGAAAATGCTGAGCTGACTGAAGGAAGCCACACAAGAGAGGCCCACCATACTCCACCCGTGCCAAGTCCACAGCCCAGAACAGCACATCTACTTGGCAAAAGGTGCAAAGTTTCACAACTTATGCTTGGTGCAGGACTCAAAGAATAATCACTTGACCCTAGTAATCAAAACAAGATACATCTACAAAACAGTTCATCAAACATCTCGTTCTAAAAGTCAAGTTCCTCTGGAATCAACAGAAATAAAGGCTGTCAATACACACTTACTAGAATCGGGCATAATGCGAAGGTCGCCTTCTTTATAATCATCTAAGAGCTGGTACATGTACAAGACAGGGTCCTTCTCGTAGGTGATGTAGAACCACGTGTTCATGATGGGGGCGCGTGCTAGGACCATGCCCCTCCACTCGTCCTTGGAGCCGTCCTCCGTCTCAAACATGTGCTCTACCGCCTTGCCGATCATCGTGTCGGCCAGGTGTGCATCGCTGATTCGAGAGGTCGCTGGGGACAAGAAGCAAACAACGGTTCACACGGGGTTTTACTGGGTACGTACCGTGAAGACTGAGCTCATGCAAGGGGGCGGCCTGAAGGGCTGTCCGCGCACCACACCAGCACCCCTGCGGGGCCCAGACCACAGGATCCCACGGGCACTGTTGTCCCAAGTCAGCTCCTGAGAGAACCTGCTGTTCTTCTGTGTGTCTTCCTAAACTCCTCTGCCCTTGGTATTTTGTCTAAAATGGAACTTCAATGGTTTGTCGGAGGTACAGTGTGTGTTTTGGTATTAACAGTTACTTTATGTGTCGCGGTTAATGACCGCCTTGTTGCAGAATTCCAAAACAGGAGCCTTCCCACGCATGCTCACTCACCTTCCCTCTTATTAACACCTACGGAACCACACGCCAGGGATAAAAATTATGCAATGCAGCCATGCCAGGCCTGAGAGGTTACTCTCACGTCCACATTGGTTCCCACGGCGACCAGACCGTGCCTCATGGCGGTCACACCAGCCTGCGCTTTGACACGAAATGCCCCAGTGCTTCCGCTTGGTCATGTGAAGAACAAATTGCTTCCCTGAGCCTGCAAGCCTCCCCTCCTGGCCTGCCCCTGCCCCCACCGGGCCTCTCCCTTCTCCCCACCAGGCTCCCCGTCTGCGGGGTCACCAGCCACCTGTTGCCTCCTCCCACTGTCTTCCCTAATGACACCAGCCACCACGTGCAGACACCGTGGACAAAAGCAGGGCCCTTCCTGTCTGCTTCCCAACACGGAGATCACAGGGCATCAACACCTGCCGTACAAACTAATCCTCAGTCCTGTTCTGTGTTCTTTAAGAGGCAGGCGGAAAATCACAGCCTTCCTTTTATTAATACTGGGAAAATTACGGAGGATCCTAATGATTTTAAGTTTTCTCTGGTCCCCACGTTTTAGACAAATGTCTTTAAAAACAATTAGCACTTCTATTTTACTCATTCGCAAGTGCTTCTATTTCTGTTAAAATAAAATTCAAAGGAACACAGATTGTAATTTCTTGCTAAAGATACTGTTACCCAATTTTATCAGAAGGACACTGTAAACACATATGGTGGTTCTCTCCACTTACATATGCAGTAATTCTCCAAAATTACATAAAACTCCCCACTGCACTAAAGCAAAGCCTACTAGTTTCGAAAGTTCTCAAACTTTCCAATCTCTGGACTCCTGTACAGTGTGCTCAAAAATTTCTGAGGATCTAAAAGTGCCCTTCTTTATATGAATAACTATCAAAATCCAGTATGTTAAAAATTATAAATGACAAATCCACATAATGTATTTCTAATGAAAAATAACTATACTTTCTAATAAAAACTCAGTCGGCAGTGTGGTGTGGTTTTACATTTCGGATGCCCAGCTTTATAGAAGGATATGCAGACTCTCCTGTCTGCTTCTCCATTCAACCTGTCACATGCTCTTTGGGGTGATGTACAAAATCCAGCTTCACAAAGACCTGCTGCTGAAAAGGGAGTCTTCTGTTAGTGTTTTCGGGAAACTGCAGAGCTACCATGTGACGTTAACAGCTCTTCAGCAGTGAACTGCGGTGCAGAATCGGAAATCCTTACCAGCAAACCTGTCACACTGTCACATGAAAACTCACTCTCTCCAAAACATGTACAGAACTCCTACAACTCAGCAGCAACAAAAATTAATGAACCCAACTACAACCTGGGCAAAGGCCCCGAATAGGCATTCCTGCAAAGATGACAGATAAATGGCCGAAAAGCACGTAAGAAGATACCCGACACGACTAATCGTCAGAGAAATGCAAACCCAAGCCCACAGTGAAGGACAAGGGCTGGTGAGCATGGTAGAGAAACTGCAGCCCTGTGCACTGCGGCTGGAAACGCAAAATGCTACCCACACTGTGGAAAACAGCACAGAGTCTCCTCAGAAAAATCCAACACGGGATTCCACTTCTGGGACTCTCCTCCAGGGAAAGGAAAGCAGGGGCCCGGAGAAGTATCCGACCACCACGTTCATGGCAGCACCATGGCAGCCCAACGGTGGGAGCAGCCCAGGGGTCCGTCCACGGATGGAGAGGCGCACAGGTACCACGCAGTGTCAACACAGCCTTCAAAGGGAAGGAGATGCTGCCACCGGCCAGACTCGGCGAGCCCTGAGCACACCGTGCTGAGGAAGCACCCCATCACAGGAAGACATGTACTCTACAGTCCCGCTTCGGAGGTATGGAACATGACCGACTTCATGGAAACAGAGTAGAAGCGTGGAGGCGGGGGCCGGGGAGGGGAGCTGCTGTTTAATGGGGACAGAGCTGTAGACTGACAAGATGAAGAGATCTGGAGATCTGCTCCACAGCAGTGTGAATGCACTTAACACTAGCTGAATTACGGACACTTAAAAATGGTCAAGGCAGTAAATTTCAGGTCACGTGTTGTTTTTTTTTCCCCCACCAAAATAAAACAATCTGTCAGTCTTCAAATGGATCCTTTACCAACACACAGTCTGGTCCCACACAGAAGATGACTGTTTGCTGAGTTATGCAACGCTGCCGCCTTCCCACATGGAGTGTTAAGTGAAGGCCACAGAACTTCCAGACTGCGGTATGGCAAGGCAAACCATAGAGTCAGCACATGATCTACTGCTGGTTTGTATAGAAGCCTTTGGATTTCCTTTTCAAAATGCTCTGCTGTTTACAAAAGCAACCCCCGTCTCCTGCTGGGAACTACAAAGAAAAACATTAGGCAACTCTGAAGTCCATCACCAGAGATACTTACAGATTTGGGGGTATTTGGGTTTGGTCAAACCATGTTTTTACCAAGATAAAAGGACTTTTTTTGTCCTTACAAAGGCAGAAGAACTCAGGAAAACGGGCACAGGACACACAGCAAAATGCAGTAAATCTCACGTGGGCTGACAGTCTCGCCCCAGAAGAGATGCAGACTAAACCTCTGGGTCAGAAGAAGAGTATTATGATAATTACTTCCTACAAACAATGGACATGAAGGTTTGGACATTTTTTAAGACCTGCAAGTAAGACTCTTCAATGTGCACTTCTTACGTTGGAAATGGGCGAACGTCAAGATCAAGAAGAAGCTGAGGATGTGCCTCAGGAGGAAGAGACAAGGTCCAGTGGCCCAGAGAATAGTTAGATGTGACAGAAGCCAGAAATGCAACACTGCGCAATGAGTCACCTTTCATAAATGGATAAAGAAGACGGAAAGCAAGACTCCGGTGAGAAGTGAGCTGCGTTTACACAGGATGAATATAGACGTAGCACTGCTATCCAAAGGGAACACCAACAAAATACATGCTGCTCTGGCACAGAGTTAACATGCTGGGGAAGCACGTGGGCCCCAAGAGCACAGTGGCAAAAACAAAGGGGACAGAGGGACTGAAGAGCTCCCTCTCCCGACAACCCGACCCCACGCTTCTACGCCTCCAAGTTCACCTCTGCCGGGACTGGGTCTGTTAACTCAGAGGCTTCTAAAGACCATCCCAAAAGCATAAACCAGCGCTCGTGCATGAGCAGCAAGGCTGTCAGAAAACATTTCCAAGTGAACACGCTGAAGAAAGTAAGGTGTAACATGCATGCATCCTGCTGACCATAACAATAACATTTTATTTTATTCTTAAAGATACAATCAGTCATTATTATTAACTGACACCTTACGCCTTAAGAAACTAGGTTATCAAGGTGAAACACATTTGTATGACACTTCAAAAAAGAAAGGGCTGCTCACTTCCCCAGTCACTGTGCAAACAACCCTGAAGAATGCGTATTCAAGCCCACGGGTTCTGGCAGCCTGAATTGTGGCTGAAAGGGCAACAATCACTTATGTAATAACACACACTGTGAGATATACTTCACATAAGGATTCTAAAATAAAGGCATAAGCTACTATAATCGGATGAAATAACTACATAGCATATTTGAGCTAATGAGAAAATATTCTTACCCATCAGAGTCCACATGAACAGTGAGCAAAATGTGGGAAATAACCATGTTAGACATTATCAGATTGTCAATTTCTTCAGCAGTAACTTCATACATCTTTATATCCCTCACAGTTCCTTGAACTGTGGTTTTAGTGACTTAATTATGTATCTGGAGTGCTTGCACTCCAGTAAAAATAAAAATACCAATAATGCAAAACAATAATCAAAAAGCATCCATTTCAATAATCATTTTTAAAGCATATAATGCACAAATAATAAAGAGAACTTACCAACTCTATCAGGGAGGACTTCGAGCGCAGAAACTCTTTCATCTTTATTAAGTTCTAGTCCATAAACACAGTCAAATCCATCGTATTTTATAAGATACAAAGAAGGATTTACAGGCACCTGGTCCAGAACGGTTCCTTTCCACTGGGTGACAGGGCCACTCCCCTCCTTCCACCCATGCTGAATCCTGCAGCCTACGATGTTCCGCCGGGGCTGGGAAACAGGTTTGCTCGGCCCCACACTGCTCCGATGTTTTCTGCATTCACACATATACACACGTAAGGGATCATCTCAGAAGTACGCGCCCCTCTATCCAACACTACCGCTAGCCAGCATGCTCTCCTACGGGTTATCCCAGGCCCACGCCACAGCTAATGGTGCCACAGTCCCGGTCCAGGAGCCTCCGGGTGAGCCCTCGGGGTCACCACGTGTGCACACGGCGTGCTGGCCACAGGGCTCCCCAGGCACGCACTGTGGACGGGAAGAGCACCACTGCCGGTGGCAACTTCAGCCCTCATCCCGAGCACGAGCACAGCGTTGTCAGCATTCACGTTCCCTCTGATGAGTCAATTCACAATGACCCCACAGAAAGAGAAGGGCTGAGCGCGTGAAATATTGACACATCCCATGAACCCGCTCCTCGTCCAACTGGGCAATGTGCAAACGTTCCATCTCACCCACTCCAGGGCCCACGCCACAAGCCCCCACCTTCATCAGTGAGAAGAAACAATACACTGAGCTTCTTCTCCCATCCCCCCAGCCTGTAGTCCAGGCTGGCTGGCATCCCCACGTTGTACCATCAGTTCTCTCTAGAAAACATAGAATCTTACACACTTGCGTTTGTACAGATACTTAATGTAAAAATTATTGCAACACCAAACCACAGTCTTCCCAGATCATTAACTGAAAAAAATCTACACACGATGTTTACAAGGAGTACACATGGGTCCTGGGATCAGGGAAGGAATCCTGGTTCCGCCTAGGAGTCTGCACACAAGGGACCGGGCTGGGCGTGAATACAAGCTGAGGGCCAGGGCCATGCCCTGCCTGCGCTTCCGCGAGAACATCTGGTGGTCAGAAAGCTCTCAGCTGCTGCACCATGAGGGCAAGTAATCAGCGAGCGGCGTACACACAAACTTGAAAAGAAAAACAATTTATTGTTGGCTATAATATGTAAAGCTACAGAGGTATGTACATCAAGTAGTGGAGTCTGGTAAACCCGGTGCTTCTGTGAGACAAACAGGGTCCGGCAAACCATGGCTGCCCGATGAGGCCGGATTAGCAGAGGGGGCAGGGCCCAGGAGGAAACCGTCTCACATCGGGCTGAAGAGGGGTCCTGGGGCTTCGTGCAGGGCTGTGAGGACAGGAGAAACCACGGGCCGGCTCCCCGCCCCCCACAAGGCTCGGCAGGCACCCAGCAAACCCAGCTCCCTGCAGGATGGCGCCGCAGGAGACAAAGGAGGTGGGCCTCAGAAGGGACGGTGGAGACACCCCACACTGGCCTCACGGACACAGAGGAGCTCCGAGCTCGGCAGGGAGGACGGCCGTCAAGGGAGCCCCGGCCCTCCTCACACACGGGGCCTCCCAACAGCACCGGGAGGGAGGCACGTGCAAAGACAACCTGCCCAGTGTCAGGCACAGCACAGGGGTCAGGGCAGGGAAGGAGAGACACAGAAGCACCAGAAGTGAGGACTAAACCGGAGGAACCCGGCCAACAGACTCCGTGGGGTGCGCCTGGGAGAGAAGACAGGGGGCGGCGGGGGCAGAACCGTCACGGAAAGAAAGGGGCAGACACCAACTCCAGCTTCCGTGGACAGAAGGACGCGCCAACACAACGCAAGACAACTCCCCCGAAACGGAAGACGGACGTGTGCACAGGCCGCCCCGGGAAAGCAGACCCCCAACCACAGACACTAACATCCTAGTGAAACAAAGGGGCTTCAGGGAACAGAGTGTCTTGTGGGCGCCCGGGCGGAAGGACCCCATCACGTGTGGGGAAAACTGGGAATGTGACGGTGACGCTGGGCCACCAGACGAGAGAGCGGCGGGGTTAAGGTTCTCAGGAGGAAACGTGAGCCGAGGGCTCCCCGCTGACCTCCAAGGCCCGGGAACAACGTCCTCGCCAGTGCCTCCCGAGGAGTCACGGGAGTTCCCACAGAGGCTGACCGCAGGCTGGGAGCACCTCCTCCAACTGCACAAACTCGGGGAATGGGAAAGAGGGGCGCACAACTGCGGGCTGCAGGGAGGAAAAGACAAAGCAACCTCTGGACAGAGCTGGACAAAGAGTATTTGAGACCGACGGCCCCTCATCTGATGCGGAGAAGGGAGTGAGAGCTGGACTGACAGATGCTCACAGCAAGGAGCCCCCAGAGGCCCCCAGACCCTGCAGCGTGCAGCTCGGTGCCGAGGAAAAGGCCAGCACCGCGCAGCACCGACTGTGCCCTGCAGCTACAAACAATGCTCAACCCCAACGACCACGAACCTCAGGCCTCTTCACAGACCCTGGAAGCGCGCCGTGCAGGAAAATGGCCGGAATCTTGCTAGCATGGCATTTCTCCTCCACCGATCCATCACCTACTTCTTGGGACGTTCAGGCAGAAGTCTTAGTGATGCATACTGTGTACGGGGTCAGGCTTTCTGCACAGCGAGGGAGGGGCTGGCTCCCAAACCCCAGCGAGGAAGGAATGCAGTCCTGTGCAGCATTTCGGTGATTCACACAAACGCTCCACCATCGCTACCAAAATTACAGGCCAACACAGCATCCACGCCAGTGTCAACGTGGCTGGGCCACGGTACTCGGGTATGTGGTCAGTCATTATCCCAGGTGTTTTCTGTGAAGGCACTCTTCCAGAAAGACATGGAAATCAGCAGATGGCCCCCACACAGCGTGGGTGGGCCTCATCCAATCAGTTGAAGGTCTTAAGAAAAAGTGTTCTCACAGGAAGGTGCAATTTTCCCTCGGACTGCAGCTACAACACCAGCTCTTCCCTGGGCTCTAATGTATGTCTGTGCGTGTGCACGCACACCTACACACACACACAATCATCACCTGTCCTGTCTCCTTGGAGAATACAGACCACAGCCGGGAAAGTTTCTATCCGAGACTCTGAGGCAGGACATCTTCTATTAACCATGATTCTCAACAAAACCACCCTAAACTTGGCCAGTGACGGCACAGAGGGTCAGCTGGAGAGGCAGAGCAGCACGCTCAGCCCTGCACCCCTTGTACACTCGCGAGAGGCGCTCTGCTGTGGCCCCGCAGCTGTTCCTGAGGAGGGAGCGGGGCACCGTGCACCGCCATGTTGCCTGGCTGTGTCCAGCAGCAGCACAGGCCCCCTCCCTCCCCGGGGTGCCACAAGGGACTCAGAGCTGCTGGGTGGTCCTCTCCAAAGCGGCCCCTGCACCCTTTACCCCGGAACACAGCGGTCCTTCCCTCTGTCTTCGTTAAGGGAGCTGGAAGCCCCAAGTCCTGCTGCTGTCCACGGGACGCCTGGGCAGGTCCAGCATCTTGCTCTGTGTCTCTGTGCAACACTGTGTCATCACCCGTGTCTCCCTTCGTCTGTGCAGCTGGGATGACGGAGGCTTCTGTGCCCCGCACGTGGCGTAGCTCTGGTCTTACAGAAGCTACCTCTAACCTCTGAAGTGCTGCATTTAGACCTAACGTTCTTCTACTAAAACCTACAATTAATCAAAACCTATGCCTTCTCTTTCCTAGCTCTAGCAAGACCAAAAATAAGCAAAAAATTCTTAGTAAAAGGAGGAAAATTTAAAAAAAAAAAACAAAAACAAAAACAAAAGACCTCAGCACATTGTAACCCCAACCTGACGCTGCGCGAATTTGGGCTGCTCCTCCAAATTGTTATTTTTCATTTCGTTATTATCTGAGTAACTTTTTTAAAACATTACCTTATTTAGAAACAAACAAGGAAGGAAAGATTTTTGTTGCTTCTTGTAACATTTCCATCTCGTGGACATGTTATTTTTCTAAATACACCCTGTGGTGACGCAGACGGGGTTCAGAGAGGCAAGCACAGGTTCCTGCGAGCCTCCAGACGCTGTCCTGGTGCCCACGTCCCCAAACCACCTTGGTCCACACATCAGCTTCAAGACCCTTCTCCCCTCAGTGCCTGTGTCAGGAAACAGTACTTTCACTGTCTCCCATTTTCCAAGTTACAGATGTCAGGTGCCAATCGATCCTTCTTCCTTTTGACCGCTTTTTCTGAGTTGCTTTTAGCATGTTCTTTGTTCCTCCAATCAGAAATGTCACCAGAGCCCGTGACTTGTGTTTTTCATTACCCCTCAACTGGCACTGGACCAATCTAGCGAGAGGGGCACAGAATCATCTCCCGTGTTTGCTCTTGATCCTGCCCCCTCCACCCCTTTCACAGCAGGAGGGGCGCAGGGTTTCCAGGTGTGTCCTCCACGGTCCACCTTTCCCCAACGCTGCTCACCTTCCAGAAAGAATTCAGACCAAGTGTTCCTGAATCAGGTAAAATAGATAGGCTTGAATTTTAGCCCATCTACTGAGTATCTTACATAGTAGCTTTAATTTCTAGAAACTGATGGCTTGATCTTCTCTTCAACGGTGTCTCTTCAATTAACAAGTCTCCCAACATCGGGGGTAATGTTCGCCTCCTTCCCCGGTTCCTCTATGGACTCGGCGGGTCGGCCTTGTCTGCTGGCGGCGGATCCCCGGTTAGCTCTTCCGTTGTGACAATCTCTTGCGCCATCAGTGCCCCTCAGGTGCCTGCCGGGTGCCGGGGCCCTCGTGTTACCTGCAAGCTGGGGCCACGGCATCTGTGGTGGGGAGCACATCCTCGGGCCCAGGTGAGCCCTGACGTCGGGCAGGACCTGACACGCAGCTATGATGCAGGGGGCTGTGGAGCGGCCAGGAGCTGAGGGAGAGACCCTGGGGAGGGCAGCAGGGCCAGGCGAGCATCTAGGCAAGCTGGTTTCTCCTCTTCGGCTGTAACCAGCCCTGGTGGTCTCCTACCTGCGTGGATTCCAGAGTCTACTCTGGTGGTCACTCTTCGGACGGCCTCCTTTTCTCCTCAAAGTGGCAGAGAGTTCCTCAGCTCAGCTTAGTTTTTACATAAATCTGTCCCAACACACTTTAGGTCTCCCAGAGATTTCTAGTGTTCTGGCCTGCCAATAGGATGAGGTAGGATGAACTCTCCAGCTCAGTAACAAAAACTGCAAATTCTGAGGAATTGTTTTAATGCAAATTATGGCGAGGTACAATCCTCTCTGCTTATG